GTCAAGAATGAGGGGGGGGGCGGAATCGGGCGCAGTGGGCTAGCGCGACCGAATGCCCCCCGATGCTTGTCAAAATGCCCCCCTCCCATGTTTGATGTGCAACCCGAATAACGCCTGCAGTAGCCTAATCTGTTCCCCTTGTCCGTCTAGCCAATCTACCGCGTGGCCCATTAAGGGGGAAAACGATTTGTTGGGTAAAATTATTTCAGGATTTCTTTCAGAAATTTGCAGCCAAAATTCATAATTAATGTCACCTACAAATTGTTTTATCAAAGGCAAAAAACCTCTAAGTATATTAGGCAGGAAGAGTTTGCAAATGGGTATCCTACGAATAATATGAAAGGAGGGGATCTGCTATTCTACATGCTGGAAGAACAACTCTGTGAGATCGAGTAAGTGATGTTGATCTCTATCGAATTTACATCTGATTACAAAGAAAGACCTTTAAACAAGCCGTGGCTGTTCCTAGTTAGAGCATAGCAGACTTGATATAAGAGAAAACCCCCTGAGTGCTTTACGATCCTCACCAAGAGCAACTTCATAGGCGGGCCACATGTCGCCTTTGTACGTGCCATTCTCGCTCTTTAAACAATAACCTCCAAAAACATAAGCAATATTCGAAAATATACGGACTAAAGTGAACTTTACTCTGTGGATTCTAAGAAAACCACTAAGCAATTCAGGAGAAAAATAAACTCTACTTTTACGACGATCGTATAGTATGACTGAGTTACGCTGTAACCCGTTTTTTGCATTTTGACTGCCTACAATTGGTTTGCTGTACACGTCTTTGGAATGAGAGGAATGGTTATTAAACACATACACCTAGACAACTGATCGGTTGACGAGACAAAATGTTTGATGTCGTTTGCAGCATTGTCTTATTTTCATAGCAAAACATTAGCGATAAAGAATGCACTTGAAAAATGTTTAACCGAGAAAATTTTATACCGTATTTACATAAAATTAGATCAGATTGTACAACAGTCTGCTTAAAAATTATTTAAAAAACCTTACTTAGTTAAGTTGGCTGCTTGAAAACGCTACAGT